TGTAAACGTAGAAAAGGAGGAGAGCGGCCTCCTCGACGAGGGAGTGCAACCCAACGGGTGCAATCCAAAGGGCATGAGAGCATGATATATAATATTTTATGTTTGAGTTTAACATGTGAGAGTTTACAATGTCAGAGTTGATCAAATACGACAATCAATGGCGTTAATCGGGGGCGTTTGATCAAAGTCTTTAATCAAAGGCGTCATCCCTTTGCGGACCACCACCTCCCTGCGTATATAACTTCAAAAGAAGCAACAACAGCGGCAACAACATATTTCGAGGGCGACGCTGCTACTTCTGATTCTGCTGCTTCTGCTGCCCGGCTATTTGTAGCCGGGCTGGAAATGATTGCGATGATCATGTCTGAACTGAGAATTAAGTGACTAAATATTACTTTGTTTAACCATAACTGTATGTAGGTTAGCGTCATCATGACTCATCGAATACTACTCATGAATGAACTCACACTGTTTAATGACAGAAATTGTAATCATTTTGGCTGCCCGTGTAGGACAAGTCACCTTCCTTGTATAGACGCATTCTAAACACAACACGGTCCTTAAATATATTGTTAAAATAACGTCTACACCCGTTTCAAAATGCAGCTCCACCTCGGCCATGAGCAACCCACAGCACGCCCAGAGGCAGTAGACCACGAGGGAGCTACATACTGTTAACATTTTTTCCCTCTATTAATGCTTCCCCCTATCCACACCCTGTGATGCTGCTGGTCCTGCATAATGGACGGGCAAAACATGACTTTAAAACCCCCGCCAAACCTCCTACGCATTTCACAAGTAGTACTAGTCGCATATCTGCATTTCCCATAAATATGCTAAATTTCCTCTTGATATGCAAATTATTTTGTCAAGGCGATCTTCCTCCTCCCTCCCAGCTGAAATAGATGCTCCAAGCCTAGGACGTGTCAATCAGACTCTGTCTAATCGACAGACCTGTTCTTCACCTGAGGACGGCTGCTTGCGTTGTGGCCGAAACGTAGTGAGAATTATTTTATTATGTTTTATTTTTATTATTTTATTATATCCATTCTACGTGACTTTACCGAAAGAACCAAGAAGAAGTATGAGTCCATTCATGAGTAGTATTCACTAAGCACCGATGGCACTAACCTACACACAGTTATGATTAAACAAAGTAAACATTAGTCGCTCATCCCAGCTCAGACAATGATCATAGCAATTATTTCCAAATCCGTGTCGGGTCCCACGAGAACAGGGCACTTCTACAAACTCTCAAATTGTAAACTCACATTGCATACTCTAACATTATAAACGCTAACAACATAACCTTTAAACTATGAGCAACACATTGTAACGCTTTAAAATAACACTACAAACTAGTGTTATAGTAAACTATAATGTTGCGAACTCTAACAATATAAGCTATGATCGATATATTATAATGCTATAAAAAGACATCATAAACTAGTGTTACAGATTAGAACACCGTACATTGAAGTGTGATATTCGAATCTCATTCGAATTCTTAGCTTCACACCGTGGTCCTCTAGGAATCACAATTTGCTCGTCAGTATGTAACATGTCTGTATGTAATATGTATGCATGAGATATGTCTGTATGTAATATGTATGCATGTAACATGTATGTATGTAATATGGACGTGCGAACCAATGGTGGGACATGTGAAACATGAAGGTGCAGGATCAGGATGGGATTAAAATTATTTGAATAACACTTTGGTGGTATGCGCCGCAGCCTGGCTGCCCAGCAGATACCAAGGAGGAATTTTGGTAACAATTGATGGACACATGCAATCAAATAAATGGAGAAGAGCAGTTAGTAATTGGTGGAGACCTAAATGGACACGTTGGAAACGCCCGGGATGGATACCCTCGAAACCATGGTGGCCAAGGATATGGTACCCGGAACGATGAGGAAAACCGAGCCCTGGACTTTGCGGAAGCCCATGATCTTGTCCTCGCCAACACCTTCTTCAAGAAGAGACCGTCCCATCTCATTACGTACGCCAGTGGTGGGAGATCAACTCAAATTGATTTCTGGCTTGTCAAGCGGGATAAGCTGAAAACGGTGACAAACACTAAAGTCATACCATCGGACAACATCACCCCACAACATCGCATCCTGATCATGGACATGAAAATGGACATTGGCCAGCGACATCGCCCACCAACAACGGAACAGCAGCGAATTAAGTGGTGGCGGATGAAGGAATGCAAAGATCAGCTGAGAGTCGCCCTCAATCAGATTGACGTGAACACCAACCGACCAGCGAATGCGATTTGGGAAGATCTCGCCGGCCAACTGTGCACAGCAGCAACGGAAGCACTGGGGCCAACTAAGCCGGCAAAACACTTCATTGACAAGCAAATATGGTGGTGGAACGAATAAGTTCAGCTAGCAGCGAAAGAGAAGAAGCTAGCTTTCAAGAAGTGGCGCAAAACGCTCGCAGATCTGGATTACCAACAATACAGAAACTGAAAATCGGCAGCGAAGCGAGTAGTAGCAGCGGTGAAATTAGCTCAATACGACCAACTGTATGTCGAACTGGACACCCCAGAAGGTGCCAATAAGATCTATCGACTGGCAGAGGCGCGCCATCGTTCGACTCAGGATATTGGTCAGGTCAAATGCATAAAGGATGAGAATCACAGCGCTCTCAGAGACCCGCCCGCCATCCTTCAACGCTGGAGCGACTACTTCTCTGGAATCTGCAACCAGGAATTTCCCCACCCACCGATTATTAGCGCTGAACACGTCCTCGATCCGGTTTCACCTATCACCATCACCGAAGTGGAACAAGCTATCAAGAGAATGAAGAATGGGAAAGCGACTGGCCCGGACGATATACCTGCTGAGGCCTGGAAGATCCTTGGCAGGCAGGGTGCTGCCCTCCTTACCCAACTCTTCAGCACCATCACGAGCACCGGTGAGGTCCCAGAAGCCTGGTCGACCAGCACGACGGATCCAATTTGGAAGGGTAAAGGGGCCGTGGCAGAATGCTCGAATTACAGGCCAATCCGGCTCCTGTGTCATGCGATGAAGATCTTTGAGCGAGTTTTGGACACGAGGATTAGAAACATCGTCACCCTATCACCCAACCAATGCGGCTTCGTCAAAGGATATGGCACTACGGACGCCATATTCGCGGCGAGGCTCCTGCTGGAGAGGCACAGAGAGAAGAACAAAGCTGTGCACGTGTCGTTCCTCGACCTTGAAAAGGCATTTGACAGGGTCCCCCACGACCTCATCTGGCACTCGCTTCGATCCCATGGAGTCCCTGAAACCTACGTGCATTGGGTACAAGAACGTCACCAGTGCAGTCAGGTGTGCAGTGGGCATATCACCGCCATTTCCCATCAGCGTTGGAGTGCACCAAGGATCGGCTCTGTCACCACTCCTGTTTATCCTGTGCATGGACACGATCACTGCCGACCTGCACACGCCCCTGCCATGGTCAATTCTCTACGCGGATGACGTCCTCCTCTCAGATGAAGAGAGAGGAGAAGTGGAAAGACAAACGCGCCTGTGGAAGGAACGTTTGGACGAAAACGGGATGAGGTTCAACATCAAAAGACGGAGTATATGGAGTGTGGCCCCCAAACCGACGGCACCATCAGCATTGACAGAGAAGATCTGAAGAAAGTGACGGACTTCAAGTACCTGGGTTCCACCATCAGCTCAGATGGTAGCATCACGACTGATGTGAGGTCACGAGTCAATGCGGTATGGATGAAGGCAAGTCACCGGAGTCCTCTGTGATAGGAAAATGCCGGATAGGCTGAAGGGAAAAATGTACAAGACCATCGTCCGACCGGTGGCACTCTATGGATCCGAGTGCTGGCCAGCCACAACTGTACACGAACAAGCTCTCCACACCATGGAGATGAGGATGCTCAGATGGAGCCTCGGACTCACTCGATGGGATCGTGTCATGAACGAAGACGTTCGGAATCGACTTGGTGTGGCCCCCATTGCGGACAAGATGCTTGAGGCAAGGCTTCGGTGGTACGGCCATGTGATGCGAAGTGAAGAGTCATCAGTGGCCAAGACTGCCATGTGTATTGAGCCAGAGGGCCGCCGTCCACGCGGACGTCCGAAGAAGCGATGGATGGATCGAATAAAGGAAAACATAAAGACGGTCAACGCATCCCCTGAAGATGCCCTGGACCGAGCCAAATGGGGAAGACAATGCCGAAAAGCGGACCCTGCGCCACAGCGGGAACAACGCTAGGAAGAAGATTACTTATTGGATTTCACTCCCTCGTCGAGAAGGCCGCTCTCTTCCTTTTCTAAAGTTACATGCTAATTTCTCTGCATTCACTTTAAATCGAGGACAAAGTTTTTCCATTTATTCAAAATAAGCGCACAATTACACACTGAGATGCACTTACATATTCATGCATGAAGCACAATGGGCACATTACCCTTCGGTATGTTAATAGACATGCGGATTGTGCCTTCCAAAATTAACAATCGAATGCAAATATTCTGAAAGACAAAGGATTGGATCGTAGGGGGGGAGTTATAAGGTGGCTCAGAAGCAGAGCTCAATGCCATTTCGAGAGGGAATTTGATGAGGTTGGACGCTCGACTCGTCGCTCTGCTGATCGCCCTTCAACCGCGAGACAACGCAGCCTGGCGAGCACAATTGCTGTGTCGACAGTTAGGCGACTTTGCATCGGGAGAGTTCGTGGCGACATCTTCAGACGGGTTCCAGACATCGATATACCGTGAATCTCCAAGTAAGTGTCTATTTTCGCGGAACGTGTTCTTCGTCAAATTAGCGGGATTTTTTTGCGTCTCGGTAAGACGCGAGTGTCGTTCTTGTTTTAGCAGTTAACAAAATCTAAAACTCAACGCTAAACATCCTTGCGGCTGATAGCGTACTTTTGACTCGATAACAGCGCTGCTGTTACTACGCTCACATGGAGCAGAGACGCTCTCCACAGCCCCACGCACACGGAGACAAGAAGCCATTGAATTGCTCTGTGTGTGGGAAGTCCTTTTCATGGTCATCAAGTCTTAAGAGACACCAGAGAACGCACACGGGTGAGAAGCCATTCCTGTGCCCTGTGTGTGGGAAGACATTTGCGAAGTCATCACACCTTCAGAGTCATCAGAGAACACACACGGGTGAGAATCCATTCCTGTGCCATGTGTGTGGGAAGGCATTTGCACAGTCGTCAACTCTTCAAACTCACCAGAGAACACACACGGGCGAGAAGCCATTCCTGTGCCCTGTGTGTGGGAAGACATTTGCAGACTCATCAACTCTTCAAACTCATCAGAGAAGACACACAGGCGAGAAGCCAATCCTGTGCCCTGTGTGTGGGAAGGCATTTGCACAATCGTCAACTCTTCAAACTCATCAGAGAACGCACACGGGCGAGAAGCCATTCCTGTGCCCTGTGTGTGGGAAGACATTTGCGAAGTCATCACACCTTCAGAGTCATCAGAGAACACACACGGGTAAGAAGCCATTCCTGTGCCCTGTGTGTGGGAAGGCATTTGCACAGTCGTCAACTCTTAACAGGCATCAGAAGGTCCACAATGATAGGAAACTGAAATCAAAAGCTGAAATTCAAGGTGCTGCAATGAGTCCTCAAGAAGTTTCCACCTTCGATCCCATGCAGTTGGATCCCGAGAGATGGCTGGACGTAACGGAGTGGCTCGAGAGTCAACTAGAGAGCTCGGGGTGACTGAAATAATATTATGTCATGTGGTTATACCTATTAAGCCGTATCGAGTACTTTTGTGTGTAATTTTGACCATTTTAGATTTACAGTTTTTGTGAGTTTAATTACGTGCACAGTGGTGGTTTGTAATGTTATCGGATTACTTGCCGAAGTGGTGTGATGAGCACTGGCTGTGAGAGGGCTCAATTGTAGTCGTTAGGTATTCCTGTTGAGCTAAAGTTGGAATGCGTCTGTAGGTACATCTTTACTCAACATTTTAAACGGTTTTTTTTCGAGCATATAGCTGTTTTTATTGGTATTAATCGACTTTAGATAGCCGATTTCAGGATGTACATTGATGACAAGTTCGTTGGATATATGGCCTTGACTACAACATAGACGCACAGTGAACAAATGTGGTGAACTAATAAGGAAATCATGGGGAATGATACTTTAACGCTTTGGTATTCCTGGAACGGAAATGGTTTGCATGGTACTGGAAATTTGTGAACATAGGACACAATAAATATTCCCTTCGAGTTTTGATGTAAAAATGATTGCAGATGAATAAAAAGTATTTTTAACAAATGTTTGTCCGGTCTTTATTTTATAATGTTCCTAGCAAAAATATGAGAGAATTTCAGGTGGAGGATCTCCGTCACACAAGTGTGCCCTTAACCGGCAGCAACTTGGCTGTCTACCCGATTAACACGTGTTCCTTGAGGGGAAAGGTCCCAGTAGTTAATCGTTCATCAACGTACCAGTCCCTAATCCCGAAGTATGTTGTACCTTATAACATGTAAACTGTAATACTATAAATGATAACACTAAACTTTAAACGATTATAAACTAGTGTTTTAATTTATAACCATATAAATTGAGGTAAGGTATTATAATAGCATTAGAATTACAGTGTGGTCGTATAAGAATCGCACTATGCTGATATGTATGTATAGTGTACGTGCAAGGATCGGATAAAAAATTATTACAATTACAACATGGTCATATGACAATCAAGATTTTTAATGCAAGATGTCATCGAATAACAAAAGACGGAATATATTTATATAAATACACGCACAAACCCATTATAAACTCATGAGATTATGAATCGTTACAATTATTATAACAATCACAAATTGTGACAAAGAGAAATTCCCACAAGCAAAACACCACGCTCACGTGACGAATTCTTAAACAAACTGCTACACTCAAGTGACAGAACTCAACAAAAAAACGCCGCAAAAAAAAGAACAACATCAATGGACAAATCCTAAAAACATACAAAACACGCACGTTAGCAGATGTTAGAAGAAGACAACACATAGCACCTTCAACTATACACATTATACAGCCAACTCGTAAATGGGGCGGTATATGACAGCCTTCGCTGCTGGCGACGGGGCCAAGGAGCGAGTGTTTAACTCCATTGTTTCAGAATCCGTGTCATTACCCGGCCACAGCGCCTTAGCCAAACTACATCTCCCCAACAAGGCAGCCTTCCCTATGCTGTGTATTTTAGCAATATATTTACGGACGCACTTGAAGATAACAATTCGTCCAACAAAGGCAGTCGACTTGTTCTACCAACATGATTTAAATTAACTAACCTACACACAGTTATGATTAAACAAAGTAAACATTAGTCGCTCATCCCAGCTCAGATATGATCATAGAAATTACTTCCAAATCCGTGTCGGGTCCCACGAGAACAGGGCACTTCTACAAACTCTCAAATTGTAAACTCACATTGCATACTCTAACATTATAAACTCTAACAATATAACCTTTAAACTATGAGCTAAACATTGTAACGCTTTAAAATAACACTACAAACTAGTGTTATAGTAAACTATAATGTTGTGAACTCTAACAATATTAGCTATGAGCGATACATTATAACGCTATAAAATAACATCATAAACAAGTGTTACAGATTAGAACACCGTACATTGAAGTGTGATATTCGAATTCGAATTCTTAGCTTCACAACGTGGTCCTCTAGGAATCACAATTTGCTCGTCAGTATGTAACATGTCTGTATGTAATATGTATGCATGAGATATGTCTGTATGTAATATGTATGCATGTAACATGTATGTATGTAATATGGACGTGCGAACCAATGGTGGGACATGTGAAACATGAAGGTGCAGGATCAGGATGGGATTAAAATTATTTGAATAACACTTTGGTGGTATGCGCCGCAGCCTGGCTGCCCAGCAGATACCAAGGAGGAATTTTGGTAACAATTGATGGACACATGCAATCAAATAAATGGAGAAGAGCAGTTAGTAATTGGTGGAGACCTAAATGGACACGTTGGAAACGCCCGGGATGGATACCCTCGAAACCATGGTGGCCAAGGATATGGTACCCGGAACGATGAGGAAAACCGAGCCCTGGACTTTGCGGAAGCCCATGATCTTGTCCTCGCCAACACCTTCTTCAAGAAGAGACCGTCCCATCTCATTACGTACGCCAGTGGTGGGAGATCAACTCAAATTGATTTCTGGCTTGTCAAGCGGGATAAGCTGAAAACGGTGACAAACACTAAAGTCATACCATCGGACAACATCACCCCACAACATCGCATCCTGATCATGGACATGAAAATGGACATTGGCCAGCGACATCGCCCACCAACAACGGAACAGCAGCGAATTAAGTGGTGGCGGATGAAGGAATGCAAAAATCAGCTGAGAGTCGCCCTCAATCAGATTGACGTGAACACCAACCGACCAGCGAATGCGATTTGGGAAGATCTCGCCGGCCAACTGTGCACAGCAGCAACGGAAGCACTGGGGCCAACTAAGCCGGCAAAACACTTCATTGACAAGCAAATATGGTGGTGGAACGAATAAGTTCAGCTAGCAGCGAAAGAGAAGAAGCTAGCTTTCAAGAAGTGGCGCAAAACGCTCGCAGATCTGGATTACCAACAATACAGAAACTGAAAATCGGCAGCGAAGCGAGTAGTAGCAGCGGTGAAATTAGCTCAATACGACCAACTGTATGTCGAACTGGACACCCCAGAAGGTGCCAATAAGATCTATCGACTGGCAGAGGCGCGCCATCGTTCGACTCAGGATATTGGTCAGGTCAAATGCATAAAGGATGAGAATCACAGCGCTCTCAGAGACCCGCCCGCCATCCTTCAACGCTGGAGCGACTACTTCTCTGGAATCTGCAACCAGGAATTTCCCCACCCACCGATTATTAGCGCTGAACACGTCCTCGATCCGGTTTCACCTATCACCATCACCGAAGTGGAACAAGCTATCAAGAGAATGAAGAATGGGAAAGCGACTGGCCCGGACGATATACCTGCTGAGGCCTGGAAGATCCTTGGCAGGCAGGGTGCTGCCCTCCTTACCCAACTCTTCAGCACCATCACGAGCACCGGTGAGGTCCCAGAAGCCTGGTCGACCAGCACGACGGATCCAATTTGGAAGGGTAAAGGGGCCGTGGCAGAATGCTCGAATTACAGGCCAATCCGGCTCCTGTGTCATGCGATGAAGATCTTTGAGCGAGTTTTGGACACGAGGATTAGAAACATCGTCACCCTATCACCCAACCAATGCGGCTTCGTCAAAGGATATGGCACTACGGACGCCATATTCGCGGCGAGGCTCCTGCTGGAGAGGCACAGAGAGAAGAACAAAGCTGTGCACGTGTCGTTCCTCGACCTTGAAAAGGCATTTGACAGGGTCCCCCACGACCTCATCTGGCACTCGCTTCGATCCCATGGAGTCCCTGAAACCTACGTGCATTGGGTACAAGAACGTCACCAGTGCAGTCAGGTGTGCAGTGGGCATATCACCGCCATTTCCCATCAGCGTTGGAGTGCACCAAGGATCGGCTCTGTCACCACTCCTGTTTATCCTGTGCATGGACACGATCACTGCCGACCTGCACACGCCCCTGCCATGGTCAATTCTCTACGCGGATGACGTCCTCCTCTCAGATGAAGAGAGAGGAGAAGTGGAAAGACAAACGCGCCTGTGGAAGGAACGTTTGGACGAAAACGGGATGAGGTTCAACATCAAAAGACGGAGTATATGGAGTGTGGCCCCCAAACCGACGGCACCATCAGCATTGACAGAGAAGATCTGAAGAAAGTGACGGACTTCAAGTACCTGGGTTCCACCATCAGCTCAGATGGTAGCATCACGACTGATGTGAGGTCACGAGTCAATGCGGTATGGATGAAGGCAAGTCACCGGAGTCCTCTGTGATAGGAAAATGCCGGATAGGCTGAAGGGAAAAATGTACAAGACCATCGTCCGACCGGTGGCACTCTATGGATCCGAGTGCTGGCCAGCCACAACTGTACACGAACAAGCTCTCCACACCATGGAGATGAGGATGCTCAGATGGAGCCTCGGACTCACTCGATGGGATCGTGTCATGAACGAAGACGTTCGGAATCGACTTGGTGTGGCCCCCATTGCGGACAAGATGCTTGAGGCAAGGCTTCGGTGGTACGGCCATGTGATGCGAAGTGAAGAGTCATCAGTGGCCAAGACTGCCATGTGTATTGAGCCAGAGGGCCGCCGTCCACGCGGACGTCCGAAGAAGCGATGGATGGATCGAATAAAGGAAAACATAAAGACGGTCAACGCATCCCCTGAAGATGCCCTGGACCGAGCCAAATGGGGAAGACAATGCCGAAAAGCGGACCCTGCGCCACAGCGGGAACAACGCTAGGAAGAAGATTACTTATTGGATTTCACTCCCTCGTCGAGAAGGCCGCTCTCTTCCTTTTCTAAAGTTACATGCTAATTTCTCTGCATTCACTTTAAATCGAGGACAAAGTTTTTATTCAAAATAGACGCACAATTACACACTGAGATGCACTTACATATGCATGCATGAAGCACAATGGGCACATTACCCTTCGGTATGTTAATAGACATGCGGATTGTGCCTTCAAAAATTAACAATCAAATGCAAATATCCTGAAAGACAAAGGATTGGATCCTAGGGGGGGAGTTATAAGGCGGCTCAGAAGCAGAGCTCAATGCCATTTCGAGAGGGAACTTGATGAGGTTGGACGCTCGACTCGTCGCTCTGCTGATCGCCCTTCAACCGCGAGACAACGCAGCCTGGCGAGCACAATTGCTGTGTCGACAGTTAGGCGACTTTGCGTCGGGAGAGTTCGTGGCGACATCTTCAGACGGGTTCTAGACATCGATATACCGTGAATCTCCTAGTAAGTGTCTATTTTCGCGTCGTTAAATTAGCGGGATTTTTTTGCGTCTCGGTTAGACGCGAGTGTCGTTCTTGTTTTAGCAGTTAACAAAATCCAAAACATCCTTGCGGCCGATAGCGTACTTTTGACTCAATAACACCGCTGCTGTTACTACACTCACATGGAGCAGAGAGGCTCTCCACAGCCCCACGCACACGGAGGCAAGAAGCCATTCAATTGCTCTGTGTGTGGGAAGTCCTTTTCACGGTCATCACATCTTAAGAGACACCAGAGAACACACACGGGCGAGAAGCCATTCCTGTGCCCTGTGTGTGGGAAGACATTTGCACGGTCATCACATCTTCAGAGACACCAGAGAACACACACGGGCGAGAAGCCGTTCCTGTGCCCTGTGTGTGGGAAGACATTTGCACGGTCATCACATCTTCAGAGTCACCAGAGAACACACACGGGCGAGAAGCCGTTTCTGTGCTCTGTGTGTGGGAAGACATTTGCACACTCATCAACCAGGAACAGGCATCAGAAGGTCCACAATGATAGGAAACTGAAATCAAAAGCTGAAATTCAAGGTGCTGCAATGAGTCCTGAAGAAGTTTCCACCTTCGATCCCATGCAGTTGGATCCCGAGAGATGGCTGGACGTAATGGAGTGGCTCGAGAGTCAACTAGAGAGCTCGGGGTGACTGAAATAATATTATGTCATGTGGTTTTACCTATTAAGCCGTATCGAGTACTTTTGTGTGTAATTTTGACCATTTTAGATTTACAGTTTTTGTGAGTTTAATTACGTGCACAGTGGTGGTTTGTAATGTTATCGGATTACTTGCCGAAGTGGTGTGATGAGCACTGGCTGTGAGAGGGCTCAATTGTAGTCGTTAGGTATTCCTGTTGAGCTAAAGTTGGAATGCGTCTGTAGGTACATCTTTACTCAACATTTTAAACGGTTTTTTTTCGAGCATATAGCTGTTTTTATTGGTATTAATCGACTTTAGATAGCCGATTTCAGGATGTACATTGATGACAAGTTCGTTGGATATATGGCCTTGACTACAACATAGACGCACAGTGAACAAATGTGGTGAACTAATAAGGAAATCATGGGGAATGATACTTTAACGCTTTGGTATTCCTGGAACGGAAATGGTTTGCATGGTACTGGAAATTTGTGAACATAGGACACAATAAATATTCCCTTCGAGTTTTGATGTAAAAATGATTGCAGATGAATAAAAAGTATTTTTAACAAATGTTTGTCCGGTCTTTATTTTATAATGTTCCTAGCAAAAATATGAGAGAATTTCAGGTGGAGGATCTCCGTCACACAAGTGTGCCCTTAACCGGCAGCAACTTGGCTGTCTACCCGATTAACACGTGTTCCTTGAGGGGAAAGGTCCCAGTAGTTAATCGTTCATCAACGTACCAGTCCCTAATCCCGAAGTATGTTGTACCTTATAACATGTAAACTGTAATACTATAAATGATAACACTAAACTTTAAACGATTATAAACTAGTGTTTTAATTTATAACCATATAAATTGAGGTAAGGTATTATAATAGCATTAGAATTACAGTGTGGTCGTATAAGAATCGCACTATGCTGATATGTATGTATAGTGTACGTGCAAGGATCGGATAAAAATTTATTACAATTACAACATGGTCATATGACAATCAAGATTTTTAATGCAAGATGTCATCGAATAACAAAAGACGGAATATATTTATATAAATACACGCACAAACCCATTATAAACTCTTGAGATTATGAATCGTTACAATTATTAAAACAATCACAAATTGTGACAAAGCGAAATTCCCACAAGCATAACACCACGCTCACGTGACGAATTTTTAAACAAACTGCAACACTCAAGTGACAAAATTCAACAAAAAAAGGCCGCAATAAAAAGAAAAACATCAATGGACAAATCCAAAAAACAGTCAATACACGCACGTTAGTAGCTGTTAGAAGAAGACAACACTTAACACCTTCAACTATACACATTATACATCCAACTCGTAAATGGGGCGGTATATGACAGCCTTCGCTGCTGTCGACCGGGCCAAGCAGCGAGTGTTTAACTTCATTGTTTCAGAATCCGTGTCATCACCCGGCCACAGCGCCTTAGCCAAACTACATCTCCCAAACAAGGCAGCCTTCCCTATGCTGTGTATTTTAGCAGTATATTTACGGACGCACTTGAAGATAACAATTCGTCTAGAAAAGACAGGCGATTTGTTCTACCAACACGATTTAAATTTATACCCGAAAGAAGTATGAGTTCATTCATGAGTAGTATTCATTAAGCCCCGATAGCACTAACCTACACACAGTTATGATTTAACAAAGTAAACATTAGTCGCTCATCTCAGCTCAGATATGATCATAGCAATTATTTCCAAATCCGTGTCGGGTCTCACGAGAACAGGACACGTCCACAAACTCTCAAATTATTAACTCACATTGTATACTCTAACATTATAAACTCTAACAATATAACCTTAAAACTATGAGCTATACATTGTAACGCTTTAAAATAACACTACAAACTAGTGTTATAGTAAACTATAATGTTGTGAACTCTAACAATATAAGCTATGAGCGATACATTATAACGCTATAAAATAACATCATAAACTAGTGTTACAGATTAGAACACCGTACATTGAAGTGTGATATTCGAATCTCATTCGAATTCTTAGCTTCACACCATAGTCCTCTAAGAATCACACTATGCTCGTGAGTATGTAACATGTCTGTATGTAATATGTCTGTATGTAATATGTCTGTTTGTAATATGGACGTGCGATCCAAGGGTGGGATATGTGAAACGGAAGGTGCAGGATCACACTTTGGTGGTATTAGGATCAAGCTATCCATTGCTGGATGAATGTTCCATCTCAATGGCATCAAATAGCAATATTTAGTATGAATATATAAAATAATCGCACAACCCAAACATAAGCCCCTGCAATTATAAATCGTTACAATTGTAATGACTCGTTTGATAAAAGTATTTTATCAAAGTTTGCTATCCCATCACGGAACACCACTGGAACTGAAGCATATTAAGCAGCAACAACAGCAGCAACAACAGCAGCAGCAGCAACAGCAACAACAGCAACAACAGAAGCAGCAGCAACAGCAACAACACCAACAGCAGTAACAACAGCAGCAGCGACGACAGCAGCAGCGACGACAGCAGCAGCAACAACAGCAACAGCAGCAACAACTGCAGAAGCAGCAACAGCAACATCCAGGCGAAGAAAGAAACAGCAGAGCCCGAATCGACGGCCGCCACCCGAACATCGGCAGCTGTAGATAGTGTGATTCTAATAGGACCACGTTATTATTATTATTATACTAATTTTGATGCTATTCTAAACCGAGCACCTCCCTGTTTGCATTTACGACTCCCAATGCGCATCTACATATAACATACACTCTAGCTCAGTGTAATTATAATACTACCAGAGTGTTATTCTAATAATTTTCATCCGATTCCTAATCCTGCACGCCCCAGTTCGCATATCCGACCCCCGGTTCGCAAGTCCAAATGGCATGCATACACATTACATACATACGAGCACAGTTCACATGCCCGTACACTATTATACATATGTAGAGAAGTTCCCAGGACGCACTCGGAGACGAATGTGAGGTTTATGGGCTTTCGCCGAGTGTTTATTAAAGTTATTGACATACACCAGGTGTACCAACTTCCCAGGGGTGAGGGCTGCCGGGCTCGGTCCCACTGGTGCCCCCGACACAGTCGGCTGCCCCGTGCTGCCTCCTCTGCGCCGGCCGTGGGCTCAGCCAACACGGCCGGCCGAGGAGCGCAGCCACCTCCAGCCCTGGCGCTGCGCTCTTTCCTATCCCGACTCCATTGCCCCTGGCTCCCCGTTCCACCTGACTCCGAGCCCCGACTTCAGCACAGACCCCGATGACGACACGGGCTCTACTTTCCGCAAGCCGCTAATGAAAAGAACACAAGGCGGTGGAAACACGTGCTTCCATGGGCGGTCGGGGACAGGGCATGCTTGTTTGCCCACAGGTGCCACCGGGTATATCCCCAAGTTGCTCCGTCAATTGACAGGTACGGTAGAAGTCATAGAAGTGAAATGGCTGCAGTGTGTAACGAATGTATTTAGGAAGTCGCCGTTGGTTCATCCACCCATCGCGCCTCAAGACGTATGTCCGTCCCCACCCAGACAGCTCATCCCCATGTCCTGTACAGCCCAAGTCTGGTGTGTCCGACGTGGTGAGGCGCTCGGCAACGGAAACCGTACTCCAAAGGAAATGTCTTGTGATGCCCACAGTTTCCGAGCCCCAGAGGCCCGGGGTGCCTCAAGGATCCGCCACGTGCGAGGAACCGGTGCCTGGATCCTGGTCATATTCTTCAAAAGAAGCCAGGGACCTGCCTAATCCTTCAAGGCTGTGGTGCGAACCCTTGACGCCCCGAAATGCACAAGAATCTACCATGGGCGAGGGATGGACGTCGAGAACCAGGTCAAAATGTGCAAGGTTGCGCTTGAAGGCTCCACGCCCAATATCAATACTGTATATTATTAATTCTGACCTTACTCCCTCCCTTTGATGCTGCTAATCCTGCATAATGCACGGGCATAATGACTTTAAACCCCTCGCCAAACCTCCTACGCAGTTCACAAGTAATGCTAATCGCATATCTCCATTTCCCACAAATATGCTAAAATCCTCTTGATATGCAAATTATTTTGTCAAGACGCTCTTCGCTCCTAAATCCCAGCATAAATAGTCGCTCCAAGCCTGGAGCGTGACATTCAGACTCTGTCTACTTGACGGACCTGTTCTCCACCTTAGGACGGCTGCTTGCGTTGTGGCCGAAACGTCGTGAGAATTATTTTATTATGTTTTATTTTTATTATTTTATTACTTCCCTTGTACGTGACTTTACCGAAAGAACCAAGAAGATGTATATTGCTATTCGGTTCCATTGAGATGGAACATTCTACCAGCAGTGGGCAGCTTGATTCTAATACGACCATGGTGCGATTTTAATAATTTTGATGCAATTCTAAATCTGGCACCACCCAGGCCGCATTAACGACTCCCGATGTACATCTACATATAACATACATTCTAGCTCAGTGTAATTCTAATACGACCCTAGTGTTATTCTAATCATTTTAATCCGATCATAATCCTGCACCCCCCCGTTCGCATATCCGACCACCGGTTCGCATGTCCAAAGGCCATAGATGCATATTACATACGTACATACGAGCACAGTTCACTTGCACGTACACTATTATACACGAAATTCTCAGTTTTTTTTTTAATGAACGTATGTTTTTCAAATGATATGAAATGTAATTATGTTATAATATGTGATTGTTATACATTTTATCTGTTTACATACCGTACATAGCTATTCGATTCAATTAACATGACATTCATCCAACAGTGGACAGTTTTATTCTAATACGACTACAGTGGGATTTTAATAATTGTAATGAGATTCAAATCTTGCAAATCCTACCCCCGGTTCGCATTTACTTAACATGCATATGGCCACAGTGTGATTCTAACATTATCACAGTGCGATTATAATTATTATGCGATTATAATCACGAACTTCCATTTATTTTGTTCAAAACTAATAATACCGTACCTCTGTTGTTGGTGTTATAAATGATGAAACTAGTTAATAGATTATAGTATTTTAACTATTTTTGTTATCGTTGATAGTGTTACAGTTCACACGTCATACTTGATGATTAGGGACCGTAACGTTGCGAATACATTTATAATGGGGACCTTTCCCCTCCAGGGACACATGTTAATGGGGAGACATCCAAGATGCTGCCGGTTAAGGGCAGATTTGTGTGACGAAGATCCTCCACCTGAAACTCGCTTAAAACACGTTTTTGCTATGAACATTGTAAAATAAATAAACGGACAAACATTTGTTAAAATACGTTTTTATTAATCTGCAATAATTTTTACGTTAAAACTCCAACCGAATATGTATTATGTTCTATGTTCAAACAATTACAGTACAATGCAAACCATATCCGTTCCAGGAATACCAAAGCGTTAAAGTATCATTACCCATGATGCCCTTATTAGTTCACCACGTTTGTTCACTGCTCGTCTATGTTGAAGTCAAGGCCATATATCCAACGAACGCGTCATCAATGTACATACCAAAGCAGATTATTACCATCCAAAAAAGCTTTATACTTGAAAAAAAAACCCGTTTAAAATGTTGAGTAAAGATCTAACTACATATGCATTCCAACTTTAGCTCAACAGGAAGACTTAAATCCGACAAAATCAAAAATCACCACCTGCACGTCAAGAAACTCTCAAACGAACTGTAAAACTAAAGGGTCAGAATTACACACAAAAGTACTCAAGACAGCTTAATAGGTATAACTACATGCAACATTATATTTCAGTCACCCCGAGCTCTCGGGTTGATCCTCGAGCCACTCCATTACATCCAGCCATCTCTCGGGATCCAACTGCATGGGATCGATAGTGGAATTATCTTCAGGAATCATTGCAGCACCTTGAATTCCACCTTTTGATTTCATCTTCCTATCATTGTGGACCTTCTGATGCCTGTTCATGGATGATGACTGTGAAAATGCCTTCCCACACACAGGGCACAGGAATGGCTTTTCGTCCGTGTGTGTTTTCTGATGAGTTTGAAGATTTGATGACTGTGCAAATGCCTTTCCACACACAGAGCATATGAATGGCTTCTCGCCCGTGTGTGTTCTCTGGTGACTATGAAGATGTGATGGCCGTGAAAAGGACTTACCACACACAGAGCAATTGAATGGCTTCTTGCCTCCGTGTGCGTTGGGCTGTGGAGAGCGTCTCTGCTCCATGTGAGCGTCGTAACAGCAGCTGTGTTATCGAGTCAAAAGTACGCTATCGGCCGAAAGGATGTTTAGCGTTGAATTTTGGATTTTGTTAACTGCTAAAACAAGAACGACACACGCGTCTAACCGAGACGCAAAAAAATCCCGCTAATTTAACGACGAACACGTTTAAGAGTTTATCCGCGAAAATAGACACTTACTTAGAGATTCACGGTATATCGATGTCTGGAACCCGTCTGAAGATGTCGCCACGAACTCTCCCGACGCAAAGTCGCCTAACTGTCGACACAGCAATTGTGCTCGCCAGGCTGCGTTGTCTCGCGGTTGAAGGGCGATCAGCAGAGCGACGAGTCGAGCGTCCAACCTCATTAAGTTCTCTCTCGAAATGGCATTGAGCTCTGCTTCTGAGCCGCCTTATAACTCCCCCCCCTAGGATCCAATCCTTTGTCTTTCAGGATATTTACATTCGATTGTTAATTTTGGAAGGTACAATCCGCATGTCTATTAACATACCGAAAGGTAATGTGCCCATTGTGCTTCATGCATGAATATGTAAGTGCATCTCAGTGTGTAATTGTGCGCTTATTTTGAATAAATGGAAAAACATTGTCCTCGATTTAAAGTGAATGCAGAGAAATTAGCATTTAACTTTAGAAAAGGAAGAGAGCGGCCTTCTCGACGAGGGAATGAAACCCAATAGGTAATATTATTTTACAGCGTTACAATGGATAGGTTGTAGTTCATAGGTTATAATATTATGTTTCACTATGATAGAGCTTAACATGTGAGAGTCTACAATATCAGAGTTGATCAAATGCGTCAATCGGGTGAGTTTGATCAGAGGCTTTAATCAAAGGCGTCATCCCATCACGGAACACCACTTCCCTGCGTATATCACAGCAACAGAAGCAACTACAGCAGCAACAACAGCAGCGACAACAACAGCAGCAACATCACATTTCGAGGGCGACGCAGCTACTTCCGATTTTGCTGCCCAGCTGTTTATAGTCGGGACCTGCTCTCGCAGGACCCCACAAGTCTTTGGAAATGATTGCGATGATCATGCCTGAGCTGAGACTTAAGTCACTCAAGATTACTTTGTTTGACCATAACTTTAGGTAGGTTAGTGTCATCGGGGCTCTGTGAATACTACTCATGAATGAAATCACACTCTTGTATGACCGACATTGTACTAATTTTGGTTGATCGAGTAGAACAAGGCACGTGCCATGTCCAGACGAATTCTTATCAACAACAGTGTCCTTAAATATGATGCTAAAATAAATGTTAACATTGGATTAAACGTGCACCTCTTAACCCTCCCTCGCATTTACGACTAACGATTTGCACTTGCACATAATATACATTCAAGCACAGTAAAATGCTAATACGACAATATTGTTATTCTAAAATTTAAATGCGATTCTTGCCCTGTACCCCCCACAATTCACATATCCGACCCCCGGTTCGATTGAACAGATAATTTACATAAATATGTGTAGAGTGCGATTTTAATACTTCTAATGAGATTTAAATACCGTACCTGCGTTTATGGTGGTATAAATTATAAAACCAGTTGGTAGGTTTTTTTGTCGTTTAATGTTTAGTGTTATTGTTTATAGTGTTATCAATTTACATGTTTTTAAGTACAGGTGATTCCCGGTGTACTTCGGTATTCTGGACCTGAACGTTGCAAAACGATTCATAACGAGGACCTTTCCCCACCAGAGCGCAATCCGCTAATGAAAATAACTCGGGGCAGCGGGAACACGTGCTTCCATGGGCAGTGGGGGACAGGGCATGGTTGTATTGCCTACAGGTGCCACCAGGAAAATCCAAGTTGCTCCGCCCATGGCGGGGACAGGTAGAGGTCATAGAGGTGGGTGATGTAAAGACAATGCGTCAACTAAGGGACAAGTGGTGACAACAAGATAGAGAGAGATCGAGAAGGGAAGGCGAGACCAAGTATGGGCGGAGGTTCACGCCGAGAATGAGAGAGGGGGAGGAACGAGGTTTGGGGCTGTGTTGGCTGGTTGCTGTCTCGTCGTCGTCGTTGCTATATCGTGACGCCTGGGGTCTAAAACCGCGTTAAAGGCCCATGGTGGAATCTTGTGCCTTTCGGGGAGTCAAGGGTTCGCACCACAGCCTTGAAGGGTTAGGCAGGTCCCTGGCTTCTTTTGAGAAACATGACTGGGCTCCAGGCACCGATTCCTCACACGCGGGAGATCATTGAAGCACCCCGGGCCTCAGGGGCTAGGAAACTGTGAGCGCCACAACACATTTCCTTTGGTGTACGGTTTCCGTTGCCGAGAGCCCCACCACGTGGGGCACACCAGACTTGGGCTGTACAGGACATGGGGATGAGCTGTCCGGGTGGGGACGGACATAAGTCTTGAGGCGCGATGGGTGGACGAACCAACGGCGACGCCCTATCTACATTCGTACACACTTAGGCCGTTTCATCTCTATGACTTCAGCTGTATCACTATAAACGATACCACTCAACTTTAAATGACTATAGACTGGTTTCCTAATTCATTACACCATAAA